CAGTTTGCCGAAAGGAGAACTTGCCGAAAATTGAGATATCTTCTGAAATTTAAAGTTCTTCAGAGCTCTCAGCACGACATCGATGTATCATTGTTGACAATGCACTTTCGACAGCCATGCGAGATGGATCTGGACGATGCGAATGGTTCCTGTCGTAGTGTCTCTACCGGGGTCGAGAGTCCGCCAGAGCATTCCTTGGGTCGTTCGCATCTCTAATAAGATGTTTCTTATTTCTTCTTATCCAAAGCATAAACAAAACCGTCGTAAAGCAATTTGCGATTTTCCTGAGAACTGTGAATGTATTCCATGCTTCTCGAAGTGAAAATTGCTTATGTCGTTGTCTTTATATACGCTTGTTTGTTTACGACCTGATGTCAAAACCATATATATCTTATAAAATTGAAGCCGTGCTTGCGGTATCAGGATATTCCCGCAATGAAATGAGAAGATTCGCATGTTCTCTATTTTTTAAAAAGGGAACTTAAACATTATAAGTTAAACCTATTCCAAATACATTTTTAAACTATTCAAATGATGAAAGTTATTGTTGTTTTTAAGCGTTTATTAGCGAGTGGAAACTACTAACATGGCCGTCGTCCATTCAAATGGGAGTAACCGCTAGAATATTCTTGGCCTCAATTTTATTAAAAGAGATGCGCTATCTAGTGTATACAGTTATACTTCAATTAAGATTACAGGACACCCTTTTCGGCGTTTTGCGGAAAATCGCTACTGCGCGCTCAATATCAGTCCAATTTTCATCAAATTTTTACCATTATTCGCAACAGCTAGCCTTTCGCGCACGTCAAAACAACGTTTTAATAGTTAAAACAACGTGTAAACAATAAATTGAAACCACATTGTGGAATATATTAATATGAAAGCTTACATGTAGGTAAAATCTATAAAACGGTCGTAGCTTTGGAAACGTCGAAATTTTGTTATAATTTTCAGGTAGATGCATCATGCACCGGCACCAATATGTTTGTTTCATTTCCTGACAGACTAAGGTGCGTCATTGTAAAAATCAATGTTTATATGCAAACCTCGAGGGCCTGTTTCCTAATTGTTCCTCGTTCCGCCTAGTTGTCATAGTGAGATGTTCTCAAATTGTCATGACCGAGATATAGGCTATTTCCGCACTTTATCTTTTGTAGCATGCTCGAAGCTTCTTTCTTAATTAATTAGTTTCTTAGGCGTGACGTTTTTGTATAACTTCAACTAATCCCTGTGCGAATGGTTAATATAAAAAGTATTCCAAATGCGCGTGTTACGCGACCATCTCGCGCAAAAAGTTTAGAAGCAATAATTGTTTAATTCTACATTTAGGTGCGACTCACGAACTTGATATATATATAATTAGCGAATTTGGCCAGGTTTGTTCAGTTCATGACGTACATTTCTGATATAGAGTTAGTAATGGGGCCAAAATGTCAAAACAACTACCTGTACTGTATACATAACTATTAGGCAGATTTTGATCCAGGAGGCGGACGTCCAAGACAACGTGAAAATGGCGTGGCATATCCATACATGGGCACAACACGCCATTTTTACGTCGTCTTCGACGTCCACGTCCTCGATCTAAGTCTGTCTACCATCGACTATTGTGCGTGATGTTGTCGTGTATCACGTCTACAACTGCTGCCGGTATTGATTTGTAATCTAACATGTGCGTAATATGCAATAATCAGACTGGCATTATGTCAAACTCGTTTTTGCTCAAAGTTCGACCACAGCAAACTAAAATAGGCTAACTACGTAGTATTTTACACCTCATTCCCAGGATTTTCGTGAAAGAACGAAAGGAGAGAAGGGAAAGCCTAGCTGATCTCAACCGGTCAATTTTGCATTCTGATTGGCTTACAACATACAGTAATTGTCCAAAAATGCTAGAAATTTGCAATAACATTTCAACATAACAATTCGACTATATGTAATTTTATGATTTCGTGTATACGAATATTTTATTGCAAAATAATCATAATAATTTTTTTTGTAGGCTATGATTGAATCTCAAAAGCCGTGTCGACGTGAGCTGTGATATTTCCTGATAGTGCATGATACGTCTACTATAGCTGTAATTTTCCTTGTACAGCATGTATAATGTAGTGCAGATGTCTGATGGAATACTACGCGTTGATTGCATTGTAGTAATACATTAATCTAGAATATTCTATACTAACAAATATAAACAAGGCAAACAACTAAATGAAACCAGCAGTACTTAGGCCCTGGGATAGCTCTACGCGAAGCCGCAAAGGTTAAGTATATAGTCTCACTATAGTCTGTACACGATTCTCTTGTAGCGACAAGGGACATTTCGTAATACCCCGAATACTTGAAAATTTCGATTATACGATAAAATAAAACGAAAGTTGTGAAGGGAATCACATTTCTAGGCAGGCATTGCTCCTGTTGGTGTCGAAACGAGGGAGTTTACGCGAGGTTTAATTAATGATTAAATTTTGAAGGCCACACTGTTAATTTGAAGGTGTTAAAATAGCACCTTCGTAGGTGTTAAAATGACACCTTGTGGTGGTGTTAAATAAAAAGTGTTAATCTAACACCAATTTGGGTGCTGAATTAACACCATGAAGTTGGGAATTGATTTTGAAGTGCTAAATTAGCACCATAGATATTTAACACTTTTCTAGGGTGTTAAAATAACACCCATTCTATTGAGTGAAAGTGTTAAAGTAGCACCGTTTTGAGAGTTAAACTTAGGGTGTCAAAATAGCACCTCGTGAACCGGTTTTCAGCTTCAAAGTGGCGGACCACGTAGGAGCGGTTTACGTTTTTCAGACCAGTAAATGGGGCAAAGGATCATATTTTTACATATTATCGCCTTTAATGTAATCCTTGTAGGGCCTCATTGAAAAACTAATAAAAAATAATCTATTAAGCAATCTGTCATTTTGGTGTTAGTGATGTCAGGAAAGTGTGCAGTGATAAACAGTAAAAATATGCAGTGAAAAGAAATTGTGTGGTGATGACAAAATATGTTCATGCAAGGGAGATATAACAAGACAGCTAGAATTTTAAAGTTAAGAGTCCCCGTCAAAAAAACCTTAGAAATGCAGGTTTATTTGCACTGGATTGCTCACATGATTGAGATCAGTGCCTTCAGAAGGGCCTCCAAGAAGGCTTAGCGAGCACATTTCTAGCGCGTCGTTTGGAAATTTTAATTTAACGTCGGTTGATAAAGCCAAGATTTCTTAAATTATAGTAGAAAATAAGAAGAAATACTCCATTGTTTGAAGATTCAGACAATAATTGTAAATGTAAGTGCTCAACTATGTCAATATTTTTAAGTTTTGTGTGTAAATATATGCCATAAATAGTAATATATTCATGTATATTTTAACCGCCATTGCCGTTGGCCGCTTTGTATTTGGTTCAACAATATATTGTTATTAAAATACATTAAAACTTAGTGATATTGCTCTTTATTGACAGGTTATAATTTCAAGCAATAAATACTGACATAGTAGGCTATGTGTTCTAAGCAAGTCGAACTGTCGAAATCATGATATATACAGGCTACGAGAAGGTATGAAATATACAATTATATTTACAAGGGCCCACAAATGAAGGATTGTTCGCTCATACAAAGCCATGGAACTTGCTTTGGCAATAGATAAATATTAGCTAAATGAGTTAATATTAATACCGTTTCAATAGTGATCAATACAATAAAGTTAACAATATAAACATTTATATTTGTTAATGTATTGATCTATTGAGAGGATATCAATGTTGACTCAATAGCTATTAATATTGATATAATCTTCAAAGCACGTTCTATGGCTTTGTATTAGGACCTGTTTACATGAGACCACAACAAAGTCAAACCGGGACCATTTTGTTTTGCTCATAGTATGATCTATAATAGATGTTCACAAGCGACCGGGATGAAAATAACTCGACAGACCAGTCTCAAGTCATTCTGCCTGCTGGATCAAGCCGATTGACTTTAGACTGGCATGAATTCAGACCGGCATGAATGTAAACACAAATACATTTCAGACCGGTCTTGGCTGTAACCTTGACATTGGAACAAAATATGCTAACAAAAGCCATCTGAACAAGAAAATTGCCTAGCAAGGGGAATAAATTGAAAATTTTGTGATTTTTGTATTGATCTCATGTAAACATGTTGACAATTTCAATTTGACTTCGTCCCGGTTTCATGTAAATGGCGCCTAAGAGCAGAACAATCCTTCCTTTGTGTTATCTATATTGTGCTTTAATAGTAAACAGCTGTATTTCTATTTAATATCCAGACAACCCAGGTAGAATGTTCCTGAATTCCCTGAATATATTGAGGATACATGTTTGAGTCCCTCATACTATTGTTTATATGCTTCTAAGAATTTCCAGGCTCACAATTTTATGCATAAAGAAACTGTTTAAGGGGCCACGTCCATATTCATGTTGCCACAACAACATCGAATCGACATTATAAGTGGGTGGGTTTTATGTGAACTTATCTCCGTTATCTTGTGGCAATTTGACAATTAATGCCAATAAATTATCAATAATTGACGTTAAATTATTAATTGACAATGAATTACAGTATCTACAAATAAACTTGGAATGTAAAATAATACCAATTTTCATTTTGTAGCCAACTCACCACAGAAAATTACAAATTGAGTTGCATTATGCCCTGATATGCACTACTTTATTATTTTACTTTATTTAATGCCAGACTATTTAACTCTGTCTGATGCCATATGATTTTACTTATCAAGGGGAGAGAGCTGGTGCTTAATGGCTTAACTGTCATATCTGCCCATGTGCCTAGTTACCCCCTTCATGTTAACTATGCCACATAAATTGCACCCTACTTTATTATTTTACTTTGTCTAACACCAGACGATTTTACTTGTCAAGGGGAGAGGGCTCCCGCTTAATGGGTTAGAGTACCATTCAGCCAAGATTCTATTGGTTACAAATTATCTTCACCGGTAACATAAACTTTCATTTGGATTGTGACGGATATAAACTGTATTGAAATGATCCAATTGAATCAAAGTATGTAATTGTGAGAAGTATTTTCAAAAGTAGGTTGTTTAATTAGTATTTACTGATTAAAAAATAAGAAAATCATTCAAAGAAATTCTTATTTTTTCAGGTAGTTAAACAATCTACTGTTTGCAACTGTAGCTAGTGAATAGTCTACTTTGCTGTATGATTGATTACAGTGATTACAGGTTTTGAAGAAACAATTGTTTAGTATCTGTGTGTTTATATTATGGACATGGATTAAACAATTAACATAGATTAAGATACTTAATTGAAAGAACTTAAGCTATATATGTGTATGTATACTGTACAGAAATTTATTCTATGTTTAAATCTTTTTGTGTAGAGGAATGCTCAACCCCTTTTATCAGGATCTCAACCCCTTGTCTATTGGTACTGGACCTCTGGAAGAGATAAGTTTGATTTCATTGATTGCAGAGGGAGTGTTTGTGAAAAATTCAAATTGTGCAATATAGCCAACAACCTGCAGTTTATGATAATGCACAATTTATGATAATGATGATATTATATCATTAATGTAATGCATGTTTTGTACATGCAGGATATACCGTAAATCTCCAAATATAAGCCCCCCATGTATAAGTCCCCCCCCCCCACGTATAAGCCCACCACATGTACTAACGCTCACCTCATTCCAAATATAAGCCCCCCCCCTGAATATAAGCCCACCCAAATATAAATAAGCCCACTTGTTTATCACTATTACAACTATTTATCATTATTATTACTATGCTTGTTTAACACTTGTTTATCACTATTACAACTATTTATCATTATTATTACTATGCTTGTTTAACACTTGTTTATCACTATTACTATACTTGTTTATTACTATTAAACTAACACAAAAGATTGTCCATGTATACGCCTGCTGTATATAAGTCCCC